TGTTGAAATTTTAGACTTATTTCATTGGCTCATTTACTCAAAGAAAGTATAGTCTACATCTTTTTAGTTCATGATCACCTCATAATAAATAAAGATATTTACAGAAGTGTGAATTTGTATTTCATATTCACTTCAGCTCTTCAGGATGTCTATTAGAAATATTGTGTATTTCCACTTACCTGCTATGGCCATAAATGGGTGCTCGTTTTATATCACCTCTATGATTATAGTAGCCTGCTGGTGGTTCTTCCTAGAAATCATTGCTCACTCTCTCGCTAAGAATGAGTATTCTTAGGGGCTTAGGAGATAGCTCAGTAGACTAAGCTTTTGCCTGGCAAGCACAAGAGCCTGAGTTCAATCCCCGGTTCTGCTAAAAAAAAAAAAAAAAAAAAAAAAAAAAAAAAAAAAATGCAGGAGACACCAGCATAGAAGAAATAGGAAGCCACATATCTGAAATCTCTGAAAAAATAGCGTAGAAGTAAAGAAACAACTGCAGGAAGGTATAGAAGAAGTCAAATTAGAAATAAATTCTGAAGTAAAAAAAATGATAACTATAATAGAAGAACTATTAAGTGATTCTAAAGAAGACACTGATAAAAAAATGAGAATAGAAAAATAATGGAATTATTGAATGAGCAATATAGGAAAGAAATAGAATGCATGAAGCAGATTCAAAAAGATATACAGAAAATTAAAACTTCCATCACAAGCTGTCAAAACCACTTGAATAAAGTGAAGATAGAGTTTCAGACCTTGAAGACACCTTTGCAGCTAGTAAAAAGGTAAGGAATGATCTCTTAAAAACAACAAAGATGCAGGAAAAAATAATTCCACATTTGCAAGATGATACAAAAATGAACAACATAAGACTAATCAGCATCAATGAGAAAGAAGGAGTCAATACAAATGATATAAAAAGAATATGGGCAGAAACAATAGCAGAAAACTTCCCAAACATAGGGAAGCAATCTGACATTCCGGTAACTGAAGTATATAGAACTCCAAATAACATTAACCCAATTAAAAACACACCCAGACATATGATAATCAAGATCCCAGAAATTCAGGACAGGAACAGTATACTAAAAACCACTAGAGAAAAGAAACAGATCACATTTAAAGGAAAACCCATCAGAAAAATGGCAGATTTCTCTTCACAAACCATCAAGTCAAGAAGAGCATGAAGCAAAGTACTTCTAGTCCTTCAAGAAAACAAATTGCAGCTCAGACTGATATACCCTGAAAAGCTCTCTTTAAGTATAATGGACAAATGAAATACTTCCATGACCAACAACAATTAAAGAATTTCATGATGACAAAACCAACCCTACAGATTACTAAAAGATATTCTAGCAAGGGACCAAAATGACCAGAACTCAATGAATAAGAATAGAAAGAACCCAAAAAATAAAGCACACAATTAAACACAGGAGAAAAAAGGGTATACAACAGCAGATAAATAATATGTCAACATAAGTCAGTACATCTCAATTATAATCATCTATGTAAATGGACCAAATTCACCAATTAAAAGAAATAGACTGGCACAGTGGATTAGGAAGCAAAATCCAACAATACGCTGTATACAAGAAACATACTTAACTCATAAAGAAATTCATAGGCTGAAAGTCAAAGGATGGACTTAATTATAATCTCAATTATAATCATCTCAATTGTAATCTCAATTATAATCATCTATGTAAATGGACCAAATTCACCAATTAAAAGAAATAGACTTGCACAGTGGATTAGGAAGCAAAATCCAAACAATATGCTGTATACAAGAAACATACTTAACTCATAAAGAAATTCATAGGCTGAAAGTCAAAGGATGGAAAATGATAATACATGTCCAACACCTCAGAAAAAAGCAGGGGTAGCAATCCTGTTCACAGACAGTCTAAACTTTAAACCAAGAATGATCAAATGAAATAAAGAAGGTAACTATATACTGGTTAGGGGAAAAATACAAGAGGAAGAGGTAAGACTCATAAATATGTATGCACCAAACATGGGTGCTCCCAACTACATAAGACAAATCTCCATGGACATGAAAAATCTAACATTCAACACCACAATCTTAACAGGAGACCTTAACACCCCCTTACCCCAAAAAGACAGATCAAGTAGACAAAAAATCAGCAAAGAATTAGCTGAAATGAACCAGAACTTGGAACAAATGGACTTAGTATACATATACAGAATGCTCCACCCAAGCACAACTGAATACACATTTATTTTCAGTTGCACATGGGAAATTTTCTAAAATAGACCACATACTGGTCTATAGGTCATGCTTAAGTATATGCCAGAAAACAGAAATTATCCCATGCATATTATCTGACCACAGTGCACTGAAATTAGAAATAAATGACAAAAGAAACCAGAAAAACCTCATAAATACATGAAAATTAAACAACACCTTCCTCAGCAACCAATGGGTCACAGATGAAATTAAACAATATTTACAATTCAATGAAAACACAAGCAAAACTTATCATAATTTATGAGACACAATGAAAGCAGTTCTTAGAGGGAACTTTGTAGATGTGAACTCACACATTAGGAAAACAGAACAGGAACAAATAAATATCTTCATCCTGTACCTTAAACATCTAGAAAAAGAAGAGCAAACCAAACTCAAAGCTCAAGAAATGGAGGAAATTATAAAGATTAGAGCAGAAATTAATGCAATTGAGATGAAGAAAACAATATACAGAATCAAAGAATCAAAAAGCTGGTTCTTTGAAAGATTAAATAAAATTGATAAAGGGTGGCCAAATAGCTCAGTGGATTAAAGTGCCTGCAAGCACGCAGAGGGGCTGGGAGTTACAAGTTTGATGTATTTCACTTCTCCATCAAACTTCCCAGGCCTGCCCTGCTGACCCTGCCCCCGGGACACACTTAGACAGCAATTGAGACTGGACGTGGTGGTGCATGCCTATAATCCCAGCTCTTGGGAGGCTGTAGACAAGTGGATCACTACAAGTCCGATCTATTAGTGAGACCCTGGAACACCCTGTAAATTGTTTCCTAAAAATACAAAAAAAAAGAAAGAAAGAAAGAAAGAAAGAAAGAAAGAAAGAAAGAAAGAAAGGAAGGAAGGAAGGAAGGAAGAAAGGAAGGAAGGAAGAAAAGAAAAGAAAATTGATAAATCCCTAGCTAACTTCATCAAAAAGAGGAAAGAAAAAACTCAAACTCAAGCAATAAGAAGTGAAAAGGGTGAAATTACCATAGACCCTGTGGAAATTCAGAAGATCATGAATAGCTATTTTGAAAATCTTTATGCTCACAAAATAGAAGACACACATGAAATGGATCAATTGGTAGAAAGGTACAAATTATCAAAACTGTATCAAGAAGATATAAGAAATCTCAATAAGCCAGTAACAGCCAATGAAATTCAAAATGTAATAAAAATCCTACCGACAAAGAAAAGTCCAGGTCCTGATGGATACACAGCTGAATTCTACAAGAAATTTACAGAAGATATAATCCCAATACTCCTGAAACTCTTCAATGAAATTGAAAAGGAAACAATTCTTC